TAAATAATTGATTCATTTTTTAAAAGTAAACAAGATTTTAACTCTTAAAATGAGTAAGCAAATACATTTCCTCCATAACAGAATACTAATAGTTGCATACTTACATCAAAAATAAGTTTTTATAAGCAATGCTCAAAAACCTTAATGGATCAAATATGCTACAAAAATTCAGGAAATTGATAAACCTTGCTATCTGACAATGAGAAGAAATGTTAACTATATTTTAAATTGTAATAAGCAAACTCAGTGTGAAAATTAGAAATTAGTACACTACATTGATTTATGTCATTTTTAAAGTCACTTCAACTCACTCTCAGTAGCACAGTGCTCTGAGAAAGCAGTAAAATAAAATTGTCAATTCACTCTTATTTTTCTACTTCTCGCTGAATTTTTTAAATTTTGTATTATATATTCAGCAGCATTAGAATAGGCATGGCCAAAGGCATTTTATAGGACTCAAAAGACACAAGGACTTCTGCAGACATCGGTTAAACAATACAGAGAAGAATCTGATTCCTACTTTGATGCTAAGTTTAGCAGCCTTTCACACAGATAATGTCCATGCTTTTCTTTGTATTTCACCAAGACCTGCATTCCTCAAAGCCTAAAATATACCTAAATCTTGGATTTCTCTTTTTTACTTCAGCTAACAACTTGAAAATTGACTGTTGGGCATATAGCCATCAAGTGGTAAAGTGGGTATCTGGAAAAGGTCTAACTTGTTTTACATTTATATTTACCCTATTATAATAGGAGCAAATAATAATACTAGCTCATATTTAGTCAGTGCTGGTTCTAGTGAAAGCACTCGCAGCAACCCTGTGATACAGACTACTAATAAACTCAGTTTGCAAACAAAAACACTAAACTTAAGGAAAAATATGTGATATACCCAAGGTCTCACAACAGGTAACTTAATGAAGCTGGGATTCAAATCCAAGATTGACTAAAACCGTAGTATACATCTTTATTATATGCTATCTTCCATAGAAGAAAATGACCCATTAATTGCTGCTCTATTTTACAACATAGCTTCCCTGAACATCCTGGTGGAAAAAAAAAAAAAGAAGAAAGAAATTGGCTATGCTCATTCATTTATTCACTTTTTAATACATTTTTTTTAAGACAGGGTCTCACTCTGTTGTCCAGGCTGGAGAGCTGTGGCACGATCTCAAGTCACTGCAACCTCCACCTCCCAGGCTCAGGCAATTCTCATGCCTCAGCCACCGAATAGCTGAGACTACAGGTGTGCACCACCACACCCAGCTAATTTTTGTATTTTCAATAGAGATGGGTTTCGCCATGTTGACCATGCTGGTCTCAAACTCCTAGTCTTAAGCGATCTGCCTGCCTTGACCTTCCAAAGTGTTAGGATTACAGGTGTGAGCCACCACACCCAGCTTCATTTATTAATTGATTCAACAAATACTTACTAGCTCCTTAAAACTCTTGTTTGAGCTTAAATCCTTTTAAGTATTTTCGAGTATCTGGCATATGCAATGGACTGAATGTGTCCCCACAGAACTCATATATTGGAATATTAGCTCCCCAACAGTAATGATTAGGACATGGGGCCTCTGGGAGGTAATTAGGTCATGAATGTAGAGCCCTCATGAATGAGATTAGTGCCCTTATAAAAGGGATTTCCAAAACCTCTCTCGTCCTCTTTCCACCACCTGCAGATACAATGAAAAGACAGTAGTAGTCTTTGACCTGAAAGAGGGCCCTCATCAGCGCCCAACAATGTGGGCACCCTGACCTTGGACTTCCAACCTCCAGAAAAGTGAGAAGTAAATCTCTGTTCTTCATTAGGCACCCGGTCTGTAATACTTTGTTACAGCAGCCTGAACAGACTGAGACAGAAATTGGTGCCAAGAATTAGGATTGCTGCTGTAACAAACACCTAAAAAGCTTATCTTCATTTATTTTTCACATAACCAAGAAAAATATGTGAAACAGTAAACTCTGACTGTTGAAGCCACTTCACTGTTTTCTATTACACTAACATTCAAGGCATCCTGATACAAACGCTTACCAAAAATTGCATCTGAAAAGAAAACGAGGAAGGTTGACTAGAACAGTAGTATGCAAAACAAATTTCAAAAATTAAAAAACCCCAAAGTGTGTCTTCAGTTCAAAAGAATCAGATGCAAAATTATAAAGTGATGTAAATCTGGTTTAACAGCAGTTCAGATGACAAAAGAGGGAAGTGTGTTACTAGTAGACTCAAAGTAACCTAACACTAAGACGTGGCTGAGAACAATGGATAGCCCCTTTAGGTAATATTATTAGAACTAGGCGCTCAAGATTATGGTGGTAAAATCTTACAAAGCTTAGCCCTTCATCACATTTCTGGAATAAATTAGGTATACTACATTGAAAGGAACATTGAAAAACAGGATTATCAAAGGAGGTTACCAGGAGGATAAAAGATGTAGAGATCATGCCATCTGAGGACAGGACATGAAATGGCAAGTGCAGTCTGGAAGAGGCACGATGGCTATTTTCAAGAGGTTTCCTGGACAAGAGGGCTGGACTTAGTCTTACCATTTCAAAGAAAGGCACTAAGAGCAACAATTGGTTGCTAGAGAAGGTAGATCTGGGCTTACAAGAATTTCTTAATCATGAGAACAATTTAAAAGTCAAATAAGTAATATCAAGATAAAGTGAAATTCACTTTCACTGAGATGAAGTAAAGACTGAGTGACCAGCCATCTAGGACATCCTAGAACAGTATTTCCCAGAGAGTAGTTGCACAAGAGATTATTTTAACTGGTACATACATTTATTTTATTCATTACTAATTGATTTTAATGTACATTAAAAACAAATAAATGTACATACTAAAGTAACCATCAACCCCATTGTTTCATGAATATTACTGTTTTAGGATAAATGAAGCAACAACTTTAGTTGATTGAAAGAAAAACATTAAGTCAATATATTGAATTTAACTTAATTAGCTATATTATTTTATGATGTTAGTTACCATCCTTGAATTTATACACATAAGTCATAAAAGGCACCAAAGACTTAAGAAAAAGGAAAAAAACTTCTGAGAAGAAAATATTTTTTTAAAAAAGAAAGAAGAAAAAGAAAAACATTAAATTAATTATAATATAAGTGATATAAAAAGATATCAAAAATCACAAAAACTAGCCTGGGCAACACAGCGAAACTTCATCTCTCCAAAAAAAAAAAAAAACCACACACACACACACACAAAAACACAGGCGGGATCACTTGAGCCCAGGAGTTCAAGACCAGCCTGACCAACATGGTGAAACCCCATCTCTACTGAAAATACAAAAATTAGCAGGGCATGGTGGCACATATCTGTAATTCCAGCTACTCAGGTGGCTAAGACATGAGAACGGCTTGAGCCTGGGAGTCATGAATTTAGAGCCCTCATGAATGAGATTAGTGCTCTTATAAAAGGGATTTCCAAAACCTCTCTCGTCCTCTTTCCACCACCTGCAAATACAATGAAAAGGAGGTGGAGGTTGCAGGGAACCAAGATCGCACCACTGCACTCCAGCCTGAGCAACAGAGCGAGACCCCGACTAAAATAAAACAAAACAAAACAAAAAAATTCACCCAGGTTCCACAAAAGTATCTGAATTTTGGACATACTACTCTGTAAAGACTCGTGCATGGATCATCCTGAAACTAAAATTTCTCCTTTATCAAAATTGTCTTAATAGTCAGTAATTCCCTGAAAACATGGTGATTCACAACTACATTTATTCAAATAGCTATCACAATCAAATTACAAACTGGCTGGGCACGGTGGCTCACACCTCTAATCCCAGCACTTTGGGAGGCCAAGGCGGGTGGATCATGAGGTCAGAAGTTTGAGACCACCCTGGTCAATATAGTAAAACCCTGTCTCTACTAAAAATACAGCCTGAGTGACAGAGCAAGACTCCATCTCAAAAAAATTTAAAAAATAGCCAGGTGTTGGTGGTGCTTGCCTGTAGTCCCAGCAACTTGGGAGGCTAAGCCAGAAGAATTGCTTGAACCCGGGAGGTAGAAGCTGTAGTGAGCTGAGATTGCGCCACTGCACTCCAACCTGGGCGAAAGAGTGAGACTCAATCTCAAAAATAAAAATAAATAAAATAAAAATAAAAATAGAAACTGAAATGTCAATATTTCAATAACAATTTTAGAAATCTTGATTGTCAATACCTACAGCTATAAAACATCTGGATCCCTCACATAACTAATCTTTTACCACAAAAGACTGATATTCTTGCATCTAATAAGCATTTATTGAGGGCCTTCTTGGACCAGGCACTGTGGTGGACAAAAATTTGAAAGTAAATTAGCAAGTTTTCATTTGAAGGACGTACTGCCACCTTAAGGAAAATCTTAAAACATTTAAGGTAAAAACACAAAAAAGAGGATGTCTTCATTACTATCTTCACTGAAAATATATATGTATGTTAGTACAACTGAAACTATTTTCTATGCTATACATACACACACACACACACACACACACACACAAAATCTAGACACATGAACCAGATGTAGATATAAATGATCAAAGTTCTGCCTCATACTCAGTATTTTATGCTCTTGCTCCAATATATTCTGAAACTCCTCAAGAATCTCACTGAAGCCCCAAAGGCAATCTTGTGATGTCTCTGTGAAAAGTCCACCTACCTCTATCTTAAAGCACCCTGTGGCAAGCACATTCTTAGAGCACAAAGAAAGTGATGGGCCTCTCGGGAGGAAATGAACCCAGAGCACACTGCTGGAGGCGTTTTTTTCTGCCTAATGAGAAGACTGACCTTTTCTTTTCTTTCTCAGCTCCTTACGCCAAGAGGTACTTTATGTTTGAATAATCAAATAATAAGTGACATCTAGTGTGTCTAAGAAATACTAAAGTTTAAACTTGTCCCTGGGAGACATTTCTCCATGTGTGCATCCCCAAATGGATTTCAACCAAAGTCGAAGAAAGAAAAATAATCAGCCCAGAAAGATTCCCCACCTACCTCCTGAGTGTGTTCCTTATAGACCTGCAGTGGCCCCGCAGCTCTGGCTGTGTCCCAGAGCTGTAGCGAGCCATCGCCACTGCAGGTGACGAGGACATGTTCATTGTTCTCACTCCAGGTCACATCGAACAAACCATCACTCCAGTCAAAGCTATACCAGGAAAAAGCAAACAAACAAACAAACAACACTTATACAGGCAGCTACACACACAAAAAATAATAATTACAATTATGGCTTTTTTCCTTAAAATTCATCACATATTTCAATAGATATATCTCATGTAATCTTCACAACTATGGGAATTAAATAGAGCAGGTACTTGATAAATATGGCAACAGATTCAGAAAGGCTAAAAAAAAAAGTCCATAGGAATGTCATAATCCAAAAATGTAATGTTGCAAAGTATACTACTCCACATTTGTTATAAGTTTTATAATTTATGAGTGGACACTAAGAGATAGGCTTCAGATTTGTTTTGTTTTGTTTTTTATTTAAGAGAAGGAGTCTTGCTCTGTCACCCAGGCTGGAGTGTAGGGGCCCAATGAGAGCTCATTGTAGCCTTGAACTGGACTCAAGCAATCCTCCCACTTCAGCCTCCCAAGTAGCTGGGACTACAGAGGTAGACCATTGGGGCACAGCCAATTAAAAAAAAAAAAAATTTTAGGCCAGGCCCAGTGGCTCATGCATGTAATACCAGCACTTTCGGAGGCCAAGGCAGGCAGATCACCTGAGGTCAGGAGTTCGAGACCAGCCTGGCCAAAATGGCAAAACCCTGTCTCTACTAAAAACTAAAAAATTAGCCAGGTATGGTGGCAGGCACCTGTATGTAATCCCAGTTACTTAGGAGGCTGAGGAAAGAGAATCACTTTGAACCCAGGAGACAGAGACTGAAGTGAGCCAACATCATGCCACTATACTCCAGCCTGGGTGACAGAGCCAGACTCTGTATCAAAAAAAAAAAATTTGTTTAGAGATAGGGTCCTTCTATGTTGCCCACCAGGCTAATCTTGAACTCCTGGCCTTGAGTGATCCTTCTGCCTTAGACTTGGTAATAGCTGGGACTACAGGTGCACACCACCACAACCAGCTAAAAATAAACTTCCTCCTATGCAAACGCCAAGGTTCCTTTTATATTGTAAACTAAAATCCTGAACAAAGAGTCAAAACCTCATCCTATTAGGGCTTTAATAGCAACAATATATACCTTTAATAGTTAGAGCCACTTTACCTTCTAAAAAGCCTTAGCCCAGATTCATTTGGATCCAATATTAGTAGGGTTCCACAGCCTAAAGAGAAAAAAAATCAAGGTCATGCCTTTGAACCTGCCAGGGTAACATCAAAAGTCAAGGAGTTATCAGGTAATTGGTACCTAATTTTAATATCACAAATTTCTCCCTCAAATTTTTGGGACCTTGAATACCAAATGGTCATGTGATCAATTTCTCCCTAAACTTTTTGGGACATGAATACCAAATGTGTTCTTTATTTCCATTTTTCTATATTATACTTCAGTTAATAAATATTCAACTTCCCATTGCACCTATGATTGGAATCCAGACATGGACCTAACAGGGGGAGCAAAATACTTAGGGGCCTACTCTGTAGCCAGACAAGGCATCAGGGATACAAACCTTCCAAGTTGGTGTTATCATCCCTACTGACAGATGAGAAACCTCCAGGGCTCCTCCTGCTAAATTGCCTTGCCTCACCAATAAATCTAAAATACATCTGACACAGGATTTTAAAACAAAATATGGACGCGGAGATACCTGGTGGGATTTAGCACGACTGGTGGCAATAAAGTCCTGAAAACGCTATTAATATGTTACATATCAAAGATAATTTTACAAAAGGGCCACTGTATTTTAAAAGTTATATTTAATTGTATAAAGACCAAGGGGGGGAATCTCTTCTACTTAAATATGACTAATATATATATATATTTTAAAGACAAGAGTCTCTTGCTCTGTCGCCCAGGCTAGACTGCAATGGCATGATCTCAGCTCACTGCAACCTCTGCCTCCCGGGCTCAAGCGATTCAATGAGCAGCTGGGATTACAGGCATGTGCCACCGCACCCGGCTAATTGTTGTATTTTTAGTAGAGATGAGGTTTCACTACGTTGGCCAGGCTGGTCTCAAACTCCTGACCTCGTGATCCGCCCACCTCAGCCTCCCAAAGTGCTGGGACTACAGGCGTGAGCCACCGCACCTGGCCAATACCAACTCCTTTTAAAGAGTTTTTGCGTAACATTTAAAGTAGGATTACATGCCGTCACAGTGGCTCGAGCCTATAATCCCAGCACTTTGGGAAGCCAAGGCAGGAGGATCGTTTGCACCCATGAGTTCAGGACCAGCCTGGGCAACACAATAATACCCTGTCTCTACAAAATAATTACAAATTAGCGAGGTGTGGTGGTACCTGCCTGTGCTCCCAGCTACGGGGAGGTTGAGACAGGAGGATCATTTGAGCCCAGGAGGTTGACGCTGCAGTGAGCCATGCCTGCACCATTCTACTCAGTCTGGGCAACAGTGAGACCCTGTCTCTAAAAAGAAAAAGATAAAGATAAAAAGCAAAATTCCTACTAGACTCATGAGTCTTCAATCTAACCGGTGGGCCTTGTAAATCCGAACATGCAAGCACTAAGAGCTAATAATAAAAATAAATCAAGTATTTCTTTGACTTTTAGAAGTAACTTTTTTTTCTGCTGTAGGGCAAAACAAAAAATACGGTAGACCACTGACGTTATGCAATGAGTTGCGGCATTTTGCTTCAGTGCATATAACAGGTAGGGCATGAATTAAAGCAAAACCGAGAATGAACCCGCGCCTTTTCATCTAGTTCGTGGACAGAGATGATTAACTATTTTTTTTTCTTTTCTTTTCTTTTTTTAAGACGGGTTCTCAGTCTGTCACCAGGCTGGAGTGGAGTGATGTGATCTCAGCTCACTGTAGCCTCAACATCCCCGGGCTCAAGCGATCCTCCTGCCTCAGCGTCCTGAGCAGCTGGAACCACAGGCCGAGACAATTAACTGGAGTCTCTAACATCTACTTGCTAATGTGTGCACCCTTCGTGAGACAACTACAGCTGAGGACTGAACTTGATACATTCATCGTGTCACCCGCGGGACTCCAGGCATCCGCTGAAGAGCATCCTCCTTAGGAAGACCGGCCCGCAGGTCGCCGCTTGGTGCTCAAATGGAGACTGGGAAATGTGGGCCGACTCGCAAGCCCTGGCGAGGTTCTGGTTCGGACCCTCTCCCCGGTACGGTTGTGCCGGGCGGATCGATCGGAAGGGCCACGCAGGCTCCCCCGGCTCTCCGCACGGGGACATGTGCCTGGCCGTGTCACAGGTGGCGGAGGCAGCGCAGTCTCAGGGAACAAGGACACGAGCTAGCAGGCTACACCTATATGCGTTTGCTCCCTGCTGGAAAAGAGGATCGACTCCCGCTCTCCGCAAAGGAGGGAGCGGCGCCGATCAGTGCCTCTTCTGCCCCCTGGCGCCGACCCGCGGCACCGTCTGCGCTCGGAGGGGCTTTCCCTCGAGCACGAGGAGTTGGAGCCCGCGGGCCCCCACCTCCGCCCCCGCCCAGGCGGCGCGGCCCCGCCTCACCCGCTATGCCGTAGTGCTGTGCGGCGGCGCAGGCCAGGCGGCCCGGCAGGTACGGGGAGAACTCGGCGGCGTAGCCGTGACGGCCCGGCACCCGCAGCGTCCGCGCCGCTCCGCCGCACACCGCGTTCATCCCGCCCGCCGCCCGCCGCCCCCGACCCTCGCCGTCCCGGCCGCAGAAGCCAGTCCGAGTCGGAGGCGCAGCGGAGCCGTTGAAGAGACCAGGAAGACCGGGCGGAAGTGTGGGACCCGTGCCTTGTATTCGAGATTCTGATTGGTCCGCACAGGAAAAGCCATTGACTCCGACGGAGACCATTTTTGTTTTGGGTGAAACCAAACTAAATTGCACCTGCTGCAAACATCCATATCTATCAGAGGAGTGATCTAGGGTTACGTATTATTAATAATTACGACAACTTTTATCGTTGCCTCTCAGCCTCGTCTGCGCGGCTATCTGGTTTTTATTAATTCACTGAGCCCTTGGAAGACTGGCATCGGGAACTTTTCCTGATGATTACTGAGATAAGTTACAGCCACTTTGAATCCACGCAGCGCATCCAAAAGGCAATTGCGTGCTGCGTTGCCCAAGGAAATTGGAAGCAATGATAACTTAAGTCCGTGGAGTCAGTGCAGTATTTAGAAACAAGAATGTGGGCTACTGGGCTACTTCCACCCTGTAACTGGAGAAGATGAGACACCAACTCCAAACTAACCCCCCATGCTTGGCAAGTGAGAAAGAGGAGCTGGCCAGTTCTAATGAAGCTAAGAAAAACAGCAGCACAGCATCATAAACAACTAACTTTTTTTAAAAAAGTATCACTATATATGTATATATTGTATGGTAATAGGTAGTCAGATGCTGGTGTTCATTCATTCATTGCTAGGCATGTACTATGTGGAAAATGACCATATGTAATTCATCTACGAAGCCAAGATACTTTTGAGAGTAAAGAGGGTGTAATTATTAAGCCAGGTCAACAGGTACAAACCAAGTCATATGATCAACTTAACCATATATCAAGCACAGTGTTAGGCATTTCGGATTCAAAATCATAGAATATGGTCTATGGCCTCAAGAGATTAGAGTCTACTAAAGAGAAGCCATGTAATTAGTTAAGTGTAATCAAAAATACTGTAGAGGCTATGAGAAATATACATGGGGTAATTTTAAAAAGTGACTGTCAATGCTGGAGTTAGGGGAATTGCAGGAAAGGCTGCCGATAAGAGGTAGTCTTTATGGTGATTGTGCACAGATGAGTAGGTTTTCTTTAAGTAGACAAGAAGATGGAGGTCTTTGTAGGAGCAAGAATAACATGAGCAACTTGGGAGACCTAAACCATCATGATCCATAGGAGATGGTGGCTGCCAGGACTCAGCCTGGCCAAATGGAAGGGATATGGTGAAAGAATATTGGGTGGGGAGACTAGAGTGTTGTGCTGGGGCTAGATCGTGATGAGTCTTGTATACCATACTAAAAGAATTGGATTTCTACTGTAAACAATGAAATAGGGTGGAAGTTTTCTAATGTGAGAAATTAAATGACCCAGGTTTTATTTTTAAAAGTCCTGCAACACTAATCCGGAGATAGAGTTTGGAGATGGGGAGGCCATTTAAAGACTTTTAGCAGGCCAGGCGCAGTGGCTCACACCTGTAATCCCAACACTCTAGGAGGCCCAGGTGGTCAGATCACTTGAGCATCCAGACCAGCATGGCCAACATGGTGAAACTCCATCTCTACAAAAAATACAAAAATTCACCGGGTGTGTTGGCACATACCTGTAATCCCAGCTACTCTGGAGGCTGAGATGGGAGGATCACTTGAACCCAAGAAGTAGAGGTTGCAATGAGCTGAGATCAAGCAAGGCTCCCTCTCAAAAAAAAAAAAAGACTTTAATAATAGTTCAAACAAAAGATAAGAACTTGAACAAAGATTATGGTAATGGGAGTGGAGAATAAGAGTCAGATAAAATGTTAAGGCAATAACTCATAATATCTGCATAAAGAAAGGGGAGTCAAAATGACTTCCAAGTTTCAGACTTATGTGCCTGGATGAATGCAGGTACTGCTCCCTGAAATAGGGACTATGGCAGGAGCAGGTTTAGGAAGAAAATGAGCTCCAGTTTTAAAGTGTTGCCTGTGAATTTCTTATGGGCTACTGGACATACCAGTTGGCACTCATTTGCATTTAGATAATATTTAAAGCCATGGGAATGACTGCCCTCAGGAATAGAGTGATATGAAAAGAAAAGAGAGCTAAAAATAGAACGCTCAACAGGCGTGGTGGCTCACACTTGTAATCCTAGCACTTTGAGAGGCCAAGGCAGGTGGATTGCCTGAGACCAGGAGTTCAAAACCAGCCTGGGTGATATGGCAAAACCCCATCTCTACAAAAAATACAAAAATTAGCCAGGTGTGATAGCATTCACCTGTGTTACAGCTGCTTGGGGAGTGGTGAGGGGTGCTGAAGCAGGAAGGTCAGTTGAGCCAGTGAGGTTGAGGTTGCAGTGAGCAATGTTTGCACAACTTCACCCCAGCCTGGGCAACAAGATGAGACCCTGTCTCAAAAAATAAAATAAAATGAAAAAGAACTTTGGGAGAAACAACAGTCTGTAAGGCTTGGCAGGGGAAGAGGAGCTACATGGACTCACAAGATGCATTCTATTCATTAATTCATCTGTTTAAGGATACAGGTCAGTTTGAATTTGCACACTAGCTTCTGATGCATACTTAGGCAGACAGCCTAGCAGATGGACTCATTATGAATAACATGACTCAACAGAGTTCTTCTTAACAGTATTGCAGGAAATATAACATCTATTATGGTGACTGGCACATAGTAAACATTAGGGGGGAAAATGGCAACCATTACTATGGTAGCAGGCGAGAATTTGTTAACACAGACTCAAGTACACAAGACAAAGAGCATTTCTTTATTTTCTTCAACTAACTTAAATCTCCTTTCCAGGCTGTTTGTTGGAAAATTTCACCCCATTATGTTTGGGGCCTCCTGGCACTCGCTAGGACCACACTACTAATCTGACTCTACGTGTAAAGTAGTCTCTAATTGTCAGATGGCTCCCTATGCAAGTCTGAATGGGCCTACAAATGTGCATTTTCATGCAATACTCGAATACAGGCAGGGCCTAGGCCTCATTGCAGAGATGGGCTCCCACTTCCCTAAGGGCCCCATGATACCATCTTTTGAGGGAGCAGGGCCACATCACTGTCACTTCTCCATACTTAAGAATGTCCACTCTCAACCCCTGCCCTCTCACTCACACCACATAGTCATCTCTTGCCTCTCCCTTCTCAAAGACACATCACAATTCTGTTTAGTGAGTTTAGGCTTTCGCCAATGATTATAAGCAGTTTCTATGCCAATCCTTCAAGTACCTTGAGTCCAGGGATCACAGAGGGTCTGGCTACCTAACTGAAATGGGGGAAGGGACTGGGCGCAATGACTCATGCCTGTAATCTCAGCACTTTGGGAGGCTGAGGCAGGCAGATCACTGGAAGGCAGGAGTTCTAGACAAGCCTGACCCTATCTCTCCTGAAAAGACAAAAAAGTAGCCAACCATGGTGGCACATGCCTGTAATCTCAGGTACTTGGGAGACTGAGGCACGAGAATTGATTGAACCAGGGAGTTAGTGGAGGTAGCAGTGAGCTGAGATTGTGTCACTGCACTCCAGCCTGGGTGACAGAGAGACTGTCTCAAAAAAGAAAGAAAAAATGGGGGAAGGAAAACAACTACAGCAAAACAATACCTTAATAAATTGTCCTACCATACTGTTAATGAAAAAAGTAAATATCAATTATTAATAACAATTGACACGTTTTTATTCAAGGGGAACATTTTGTATGTTTGTCTGTTTTCTTTCAGGACCACTGCACTTGTATAAACCTGAGATCCTAACATGTAGAAGCACATAGAATAATACATATGCCTCGCCTCACACCCAAACCACACAAGCCCTGAATTCTTACCCTTCCTCCGTGAACCTGAGACAGAATATGTGTATCTCATCACCCAGGCAGCATTCCTCATATTTCAGATCCCTGCCTCACAACCTTGTTGGGTGAGTTTTATAATATAGATTCCATGGCAAGTGGCAAACATTCATCAAAATCCCAGGGACTGGGTCTGAAAGTCTGCGTTTTAACAAACTCCTCAGGGTGATTCTCATATGCTGGCTAAAGCAGACAGGAAAGAAAATCACTTGGGGAAAAGTGGTCATCACTGACAGGGACTACTAGGACAGTGGAAGCAAACATGCAGGTAAAGCAAGAATATGCTCCAAGGCAAAGCAAGCTGGGCTTAAGTTGTTCAAAGACGGGTATCATTCATGCAAAATTGACGCCTTATGTGAAGAGCAAATAATTGCATGATATCTCCCTCCTAAATTCAGAGGAGAACACTAGAACTACATTTTTCACATAGCAATATGGTTATGAATACAGCCTCCAGCTCAGACTCACGTTCAATTCTTTCTTTATAGATTAAGGCTGCGAATTGGATTTCAGTTATATACTTTTTTTTTTTTTTTTTTTGGAGACAGAGTCTCACTCTGTCACCCAGAGCTGAAGTGCAGTGGCATGATCTTGGCTCACTGCAACCTCTGCCTCTTGGGTTCAAGTTATTCTCCTGCTTCAGCCCCCCGAGTAGTGGTACTACAGGTGCGTGCCACCACGCCACACCTGGCTAATTTTTTTGTCTTTGTAGTGAAGAAGGAGTTTCACCATGTTGGCCAGGCTGGTCTTGAGCTCCTGGCCTCAAGTGATCTGCCCTCATTGGCCTTCCAAAATGCTGGGATTACAGGTATTATCATTATACATTATATAAAAATAAAAATACAAGCGTATGTTTATAGTAGCATAATTCACAATTGCAAAATCAGAAAACCAACCCAAATGCCCATCAATCAACAAATGGATAAGCAAACTGATATATATATACATATGTACATATATACACATACAATGGAATACTGCTCAGCTATAAAGAGGAATGAATTAGGGGCATTTGCAGTGACCTGGAAGAGATTGGAGACTATTATTCTAAGTGAGGTAGCTCAGGAATGGAAAACTGAACATCATATGTTCTCACTGAAATGTGGGAGCTAATCTATGAGGATGCAAAGGCGTAAGAATGATATAATGGACTCTGGGGACTTGGGCAGAAGGTGGGGGTGGCGAGGGATAAAAGACAAATAGAGTGCAGTGTATAGTGCTTGGGTGATGAGGGCAACAAAATCTCACAAATCACCACTAAAGAACTTAGGTAATCAAATACCACCTGTACCCCAGTAATTTATGGAAAAAAGAATTTTTTTAATAAAAAATTAACCTTACTGGCAATTAATGTCAAGTAATTTTTAAAGTTTTAGAACTATGCAAATATATGTTGCAAACAGATTAAATATATTCAGATTGGCTACTGTTGGACACTAATCTTCAGAGAGAAAACTTTCAACCTAAAAATTAAATTAAATATCTTCTTTCCCATATCACAAATATGGATTTGCCTAGAGATTTCTTCTGAAATATTCTTTTGTTACCTACACCCACTGCCTTTTGGGTGTTCT